GGGAGAAGAAGGGGGGAAATGGTGGGGGAAAGGGAGAGAGGCAAACCATGAGAGACTCTTGAATGCTGACAAAAACTGAGGACTGATGGATGTGGGGGGGAGGAGGGATGGGCATGGAGGAGGGCACTGTGGGGATGAGCACTGGGTGTTATGTGGAAACTAATTTGACAATAAACTATTTGTAAAAAAAAAAAATTATTTAACCCATAAAACATAAAAAATAGTGTATCATGCTGCTAATACTTTAGAATTCTATTGGGAAATGCATTCAGACCTCCAGCTTGAGATGGTGGAAATATGACTTGCTCCCCACTCCAGGGCCACCTTGGTGAGAGACTGGGAAGCAGCTTTGCCCATTACTTCATCCTGTCACTTGTCAATATGGGAGTAACCATCCCTCTAACGCTGTCATTGGCAATGGTTTCCGTGACCCCAGTGGTCACGGAATAGGGTAGAGACTCCAAGGGCATAGGCAGTGTGATTTGGGGAGAAATGGGAAAGCAAGAGGTAAGAGGCTAACACTTATTAAGCCCTTAGTAGGTGCTAGCACTGGATCAAGCTCTGGGCATAAGAGATAAAAAAAAACGCTTCCTAGCCACTAGAACCACTTTTCTCGTTTAACTTCACTGAGTCCTCAAGATAAGTACTATTTCATAACTGAGGAAAGGAAGTCTCAGACGGGGTCAGTACCTTGCTATTAATGGAAATGGAACATTTGAACCTTGGTCTTATAGGATGCCTGCTTCATTCTTTTCCAAACCAAGTTGACCCTCTTTGTAGGAGAGGGGTGCCTTCTCTAAGCACCTCAGCTGTGCTACTTACAATCTTCTTCATAGAAAAATCTAATCTATTCATTCAAAATAAGTTAAAATGGCTTTCTGTGCTTTATGAGAGCAACACCTCACAAAAGTTTCTCAATTCCAGGCAACTCCTTATATCTATTTCTGTTTTGCAGCCTTTGATTCTCTTGATTAATTTTGGTCTTTCTGACATTGCCTCTCTTGCTTCTCCATCCGCCTTCTCAACTCTATTTGTGGAATATATTACCAGACCCTAAAGCAGCAGTGTTTCACTTCAGAGAATCAAGGGCTCCTTCCTCTTGCTATCTGATGTAAGTCAGGACCCTTCTCCAGGAAAAAAAAAATCACACCTAAAAAAAATCCAAACAAAATGCTGCAAACAAAAACTCCTCAAAGCCTCCCCTGACCATGCAGACATTGAGGTCTTGTGTTGGATGTTTACATCCAGAAAGACCTCACCTTACAACTCTGTTTCTGGCTCAGCATGGTCACCGCTGTTCTGTGATTTTCTCCTCAAACACTATGTTGGATGATGATGGTGATGATCAAAAACTCACTTCCCTATGGTGAGCACATGTGTCAGGACAAGTGAAACACACTACCTCTATCATTTTGTTAAGTTAATACTCAACACTCATGAGAAGCCATAGAGCACAGCGGTTGTACGAGCAGGAGTCTGGAGTCAGGCTGCTTGCATTTGAGTCTTGGCTTCATCACATATTATCTGTGTGACTTGGGAGCAAGTTACTTCACTTCTGTGTTTCTGTCTCCTTACCTGGAAAGTGAGGATAGTAAAAGTGTTCTAACCATAAAGGGTGATTTTGAAAATTAAATTGGTTAGTAGATAAGAAATGCTTAATATGTGAGACATTTTCAATAATCTCTATCTTCCAGAGCTCTGGGTTCATATATAAAATTGTCCCATGATATTTGAGACAATATGGATGGACCTGGAAGGTATTATACTAGAGTAAATCGGACTGCAAAAGACAAATACTGTATGATTCCACTCATAAGTGGAATCTAAAAAAAAAAAATGCAAAACTAAAAAAAAATAAATAAATAAAACAGCAGATCAGACCTATAAATACACAGAACAAACTGATGGCTGCTGGGACTGGAGGGGGATGGGCAAAATAAGTAAAAGGGAGTGAGAGATGCAGGCTTCCAGTTATGGAATAAATAAGTCATGGGAATAAAAGACACAGTATAGGGAATATAGTCACTGGTCTTATAACAGTGATATATGGGGTCAGATGGTGACTACATATGGTGATAAACTTAGCATAATGTATAAACTTGTCAAATCACTATGCTGTACACTTGAAATTAATGTAACATTGTGTGTCAACTATACTAAAAAAAACTGTCTTGTGACCTTCCTAATTAAATACTCTACAGATACCTCAAAGTTAGCGTGGTCCTATCCAAACATTATTCTCTTTCCCGCAAAACCTTCAACCCATACTTCCCATCTCATTGAATCTGAAAACTACTTACCCAACCACCTAAGCCCCAAACTGGGATTCATTCCAGATGAAGTTTCTAAAAAACAAAAGTGATTTTGTCCTTCCTTATTCTTCAGTGAAAGCCCTTTAGTGGCATCTCGTTACTTAGCATGCCTGCGTGATCTGACCCCACATACTTCTCACTACCCTCGTCTCTCACTGCAAATACCCTACACAAAGCCACAAATACACCAAGTGGTTTTATACTTCTATCCATGATCTACCCCTTGTGTCTAGATTACCAAAATTTCTTTAAGTACCTCCTCCCTATCAAGTCTTTCCAGGTTTCTTAGGAACAATTGACCACTTCCTCCTCTGTTCCCACATTACATATTACATAGTGTTATTGAAAATAAAAGCATGTCTTGCACTTATTTATTTATAAGTCTGTCTATTCCCACATTTATTAATTTATTCCACATTTACTTATAAGTCTGTCATATTCCCTATCGATGAAGGCTTACTGAGGATAAAAGCCCTATCTAACTTACCATAGTCCCTGAATTGTATTTCATTACCACTAAACTTAGAATGAATGAATATTCCTATATGAATTTTATATAGGATGATGTAAAACATGGAGAGGTTAACTTGTTCTAGTGATTCAATCGGGACTCAAATCTAGTCCATTTGGCTCCAAGTCCACTAGTTTCCCTTTGACAGCTGTGGAATAGCATAGCGTGATAGGTCAGCCTGGAACTTCTAAGACTGGACCTCCTTAGGTCAAATCCTTACGCTGCCATCTTTTAGCTTCGAATCTCTAATAAGTGAGTTAACTGCTCTGTACCTCAGTTTACTTATCTGAAAAAATGGGGGTAATCGTACTGGTTTTACATGACTGTTGTGAGAATTAAAATCGATAATCTACATTAAGTATTCAGCCCATTGTCTGGCACGTATCAAGTACTCAATAAATGTTAGCCATCCCTGTAACAACACAGTTGTATCTTCTTAAAATCATGTGAAAATACGATAATCTGTAGCCATGATTTTTAAAAATTATGTGATACCCAAGGATTTAAATGATTCTCATTCTTTCCACCCAAATTAGCTGAAATAGGTCAAATCATAAGTTTCTGTTTGCCTCATAAATTTCAGTATAGACTTATGTTACTCAGCCATGAAGCTCGTTTGATTAGCATCTCGTTCCTCACACACATTTTCGTTTTCAGTAAATTTTGCTTCTCTTAGAGACAAGTCCTTTGGTCTGTCATCTTTATTTGAGGAAATTATGCACTCTCCACGCTCTGGTATTTTCTTTTCACAGCACTCTTTGATTTTGCTGGAGATCAAATTTTGTTTTAAGCAAATATGGCTCATAACTTTGCTCTGTAGGAAAGAATAAAAAATAACTATGTTTTAATCATTTCTTCGGGGCTGGATTTTCCTTCACAATGAAATGGTTGCATACAAAACCAACCATAAGCATGACATCTGGAGTTGTTTCATCAGATCCTTTGATAATAGTATTACTTAAATTTTGTATTAATTTAATACACGTGAAGCTTTCACATGAATGCCACTTTTATTTCTCAAGATTTTAAATGATAATTATGAAAATAGACTCCCTTATAAATTTACATTTTATTGTTAAATATTCATCTTTAAAATACTTCACTCCTATTCCTCTGATATATTGGCATTTTAATTCTAAATGTTGTTTCTTCCCCATAAAAGTTCACCTGTGCTTAAAGACATGTGACCATAATATCTATAATACTAGGTGTCTTTCTTCCCTCATGGCCTGAAACTATATTACCAACACAAAGTAGAAACTCAATAAATATTTGAAAGGTGTATGAAAAATGGTTAATAAGTGAACTGCTGTAGCAACTAACAGATAAAGACTTCTCAAACATTAGAAGCTTTCCTACTCATTGTTATCATTTTCCTATGGTTATTATTAATTGGAAACTGTTGAAATTATCAAATAATGTACAAACAGAAAAACTTACTGTCTCTCCTCTTTATCCCAATTATGACACCCACATGAAATTGTGAGAATAAGAGAGAAGGTGAAGTTTTCTTATTTACACATTAGTTGGACAACCGTTTATTTTTTAATTTGAGAAAGAGAGAGAGTGAATAAGTAGGGAAGAAGGGCAGAAGAAAAGAGAGGGAGAGAGAGAGAGAGAATCTTAATCCGTTTACATGCTTAGCATAGAGCCAGGTGTGGGGCTCAATCCCCCAAGCCTGGGATCATGACCTGAGCTGAAATCAAGAGTTGGATGGAAAGCAGACTAAGCCGCTCAGACGCCGCCAAGTTGGATAGTTTTTTAAAAACTGATCTGGCCCCAATCCCTTCTCCAGACTCTCCAGTTTGAGCCTGCACATTCTTCCTCCTCACTGGTCTAGCTTCACATGTACTTTGCTGAGTTCCATGAAATGCCAGGCTATTCCAGGCCTCTCTGACTTTACTCAAGCTGTTCCTTCTCCCCAGGATCTTCTTCCTGCGAACAGTGAAGCTGAGGAATGGAATGAAGCTAGGGGATGAATCAAAAAATGGAATGGAGGTTGTTGGCACCGTGTTTCCAACACACCATACAGAACCAGGAAGCCAATCTTTGCAAACATCTACACATCTCACAGAAGACCATCACAATTCTGGGCAGCACTTCTCTTAATGTTTGGAATTCACTTTTGTTTTGAACAAACTAGAATTTAATTCCTCTTATTTTTCCATGATGGCATTTTAAAAAGGGATATTAAGGACATAATATAATCTCTTGGTTTCAGCTTCATACTTCACAGAAAACTCTTAAATTATATTCTAATTCAGTATATAATATCTAATATTATAAAATGCACATTTCCGTAAACAAACAATACAAAAATAAATAGTGAGTGAGGTTGCTTTTAATTGGAGTTCAATTAAAGACAAAGTAATTCTTCAGGACATCTATTGTTCCCTGCTTGAAATAAAATGTATATATCTTTATATTCTAAAATTCAAGTTAATTAATTAACATACAGTTTCACTGTGAGTTTAAAAACAGTAAACTGAAAGTCACTGAGAAAAAGTCTCATTTCAGCTAAGAAGGCAGGATATTTTTGATGAAATTGTGTCACTTTTATGTGCACTTAAACTTTTGCTGAAAAACTTAAACTAAGTCAACAATATATTTACCAGTATATGTCCTTAGAAAAATCACTTTGAAGAATGAAGTAAGAGTTATTTCAAATTAACATATCCATTTATTTGAAAATACTTCTCTTAAACAGCTGAAGGAAACTCACAAGAAGCAGTTCTTAAAAATATAATGGTGACAAATCTTCTCTGAGCTTACTATTTAATTTCTAATATCTCTAAAAGAAGAGTCGCAATATTAAAGAACACTTCAATCTGCCTTAAGTCAACGTTCACAAATCCTAAATTCTTAAAGTTTATGTCAAGGACATTTAGCTGTATAAAATAGAATCTGCTGAGAAATATAACAACAGTCAATCCCATGTATAAAAAAAAACAAAGTTTACTTGAGCTTATTTGTTAACGTTTCATTTTTTATTTTATTTATTTTATGTTATTATTTAACAATTTATCAACATTCTGATTTCATTGTGGCAAAGTAGCCACATATCAGGACAACTTCAGAATTTAAAAATGGCTGCCCCAAATCATTATTTTTACTTAGTTTTAGAGATTATTTACCCTGCCACGGATGCACTGCACAGCGTCCCCTTCACAGCATCCATTGTACTTGGAAGAAACATCTTCTAGAAGGGAAGTAAGTTCCTTAAATTCAATCTTGGGAAATTTTTGACTAAGTATAGCAATATTTCTGGGGAAAAAAATGAGAAACCACTAAAACAACTTGAACAGCAAGTAAGATAAGAGGGAATTCTTTGGTGATACACTATGAATAGCTGCAATAAGAATTAGTACCTTTGTTTTTTCATGGATATCTTTACCAAATAGCTGTTTATATCTTGTGCAGCCTGCATGATCACTTTGGAAACTCCTAGGCTGATATTTTGAGTCCCAGACCAGGACTGGAATAAAAAGTCCTGAGAGGTATACCCCCTTTCCATATTTTTATAGCAAAATACATTTTGTAAAAACCACTTCCTGTGGCAAGCACATGGCAGACATAGCCCATTACAGAACCCTTTTCTGTTGATCTATTTGAGATCTTGGGATTTTTCCAAAGACTTTGCAATAGCAACATTACTAATTAGTGAGGATGAGCACTTGAGATAAAATTTATCTTTATAAGGCTGTCTTCTAGTCATTAAGGTCAAAGATAGATGGATGCATCACATCTAAACCACTTGAAGGCTTTAAAACCCTGATTGGGAACTCCTGGAGCAATTCAAATTTCTAACTAACCAAAGAATATCTCAGAAGTAACCTTCTTTCTCTCTGGGCTGCCTCAACTCCCAGATCTTCTCTCATTCTGACCTAATGTCCTAGTTCTGAGTTATCCACGTGGACTGAGACCCACCTCAACACCCCTGGAGAAGAGTAAAGATAAAAAGTCATCAACAATTTAACAAAAATGGGACACAGAGGAGAAAATATAAGGAAGGACAAGATACATATCATAACACTCACATAGATTCTAAGACTTGGAGTCCAAATTTCATAAGTGCCCCACAGACATTTTTTTGAAAAGAAGATGATGCTTTTAAATATTGTATGACAGGTTCTACCTAAAGGAAAAAGAGAAAAATCTATTGAAGCAAGAGTGGAATCTCACCAGTCTCTTATTTCTTAACCACATGTCAACCACATTTTCTAAAATTTGCTCAGAAACAGAAAATCAATGGTATTATTATCCTAATAAGTTTATTTATCAAAAGAAATATGCATTTGTGGCACATTATAAAAATTAAGCCAGTCTTCCTGATGACTGAATTCCACTTGGTAGAAAGGTAAGTGGTGCAGTGTGCTGTGAGCTTGGCCATCTCTATTGGGGTGATTAAACTTTATGGGCAGCCAAAAGAGAGCATGTCCAGGATAGATGATAAAATGACACCTTTACCCTAGATATTCACTCATTAGGGCTTCCTTCCAATTTACATGGAAGACAATGCCAGAAGAATGACCCCGGAAATAGGCAATTGTCTTTCAAGGGTCTCAAATAGTAAGAAATTTAAATCAGCAGCCAATGGCCAAAGAGTCTAAAAACCAGTGGAAGTGGCAAGAAAATGGCTGATAAATGGTAAATAACCCTTTGCTGTAACTTAACTTTAAGCAAGGATCTGCAGTTTGGGGTCACCCCTTACCATTTAATGAAATAAATGCAATACTCACTTTTGTTCGAAAGCAGTTAGCTTTGTCTTGTTCTTCACAACATGTTTTAGTAATCTCCTCAAAACGAGCAGCCACAGTTAGAAGTGTCGGGGCAAAAACAAAGGGGTTCCTTCTGGAAACTTCATAGATATAACTATAAAGAAAAAAAGAGAGGGAAGGAGGGAAAGGGAAAAACATAAGACAAAAATGGAAATAAAATTATAGACAAAAGATGAGAAGACAGGAGAAGGGAAAGGAAAGACAGGGAAAGACAAGAATATCAAGGTGTAAGACTGAAAGTAAGAAAGATTCCCTTTATAGAAACCTTCAGTATAAAGCAACATTATCTACTCTCCAAAAAAAGTGTTATCAATTAAGTTGTAAACTTCAAAATCAGAGTGATGATTGGTTTTCATCCTGAACACTGAACTATGGCCGCTGTCTTTCTTTCCTGAGGCGGCCAGATGGTCAGCGGCTCTCCCTTCCACATTCAAAGAACAATTACCTGCATACAGTCTCTCTGAGACTCAGGGATTTTATTTACTTCTGTTCAAATAAAATTGTAATATAAGTTTCGATGAACACACCAGCTTTCCAGAAAAAAAAGCCTCTGCTTCTGCTATTACTACACTATTGAAAACACATTTTTGGTAAATGTCTATTGATTGGATGTTTCCCCTCAGTAAAGCTGCACCTTCCCTTTAGGAAAACCAGATTATTCCCTCCAGTAACAGACTGGCACCACGCACACACTCTGTCCTAGGACTTACCACATTGGAAAATGTATATCATTACTGAAAGGATATTGTAAGTACGTTGCATATCTTGTTCATATTTATATCCTGAACACTGGACACAAAATCTGACACACAATGCATGGTGAATGCCTTCATCCATCAATGAAACCAGCTATGTTCCTTTAGAATAGGTATTGAACTTGGCCTAATCTTCAATTAGATAATTCTTCTACTAACAGTAAACTTACTTGTTTAGAAAAGATTCTCTGTTATTTTTATAAGTCTGGCATTTCTCTTCAGGATCCAAGGTAGGAAGAGGAGGCAAAAATCCGACATCTGCTTTCTTATTATGGAAGAAACAAAGTTTTTTTTCCAAGTCAACCTTACTGCAGCAGTGTGAAAAATTATGCTTTTGTGGCAGTCCTTCCAAAGCACATATATTTTCTAGTAAAACATCATTCTGGACAAGAGAAAAGTAAAAGGCATCTTTCATTCACTGTAAAGTTTTTCAACCGTCTGAGATGACACAATGAATACAGTGGGTGATGGAAGCCACCTTTTGAGAAGAAATTCCAATTTTCCCAAATTACCAGCAGCACATTGTTACCCACACCTGGGACAACCATCCCACCCTTATCCTGGGGCCCTTTAACCTCTTACTCCTTCTTTGCTGCCTACATTTCCCTTAGATAATAGCTTTTTTCTTTTTCTCTCAAGGTGACAAGGTCGGAGAGTGAATGTATTGGTGAAGTATTAGCAGTCGTGTTTAGTAATAGATGGTGACTCTATCTGGGCAGAGGCTAAGAAAAAGGGGGTGTGATGGTAAAGCATATATTGAGAGAGGCAGCTAAGGAGGGTACCTCTGTATTTTTGTGCACTTTGGCTACCCCCCTCCCTTGGCCTATATACATATGGCATGACTACAATCTCATAGACAAGTGCATCATAATACAGAATTGCATCTCTTTGAGGAAAGTACCTTATCCTAAATTCCAAAGTCAGGCAAACTAAAACTATAATGGGGCATAGAGCATCTTCTTTTTTATATTTTAAGCCAAAAATTCTCTTTGACAAATAGGCTTATTTGTTTAAGAATACAGATGATTTACTTACAGCTAATTTCGCACACTCTGGGAGTATCGTGTCAGCCAAGCATTTATCTCTATATTCTGTCATGGTTTTTACCAACATCTCTACTTCTTCAAAGGAAGCCTCCTGAATTTATTGAGCAAATACGATGATGGTGCTGCAACAGTCCACAGGGTACACAATGACCACCTGGAGGATTTCCATTTGTGTCCAACAAAAACTTGTAGAAACATTAACTTGGTGAATAGTCCCAGGAAATTATCAAAGTTTGAGGGCTATAAATTTTACAATTTCTTGAGAATTCAATTGCCTCATCTGAATTTTGTGAGTACTACTATATTTACTTTTTAAATATGGATTCTATTTCATTAATTACTTTTGAGATGCATTAACATTTCTGAAATATATCAGATAAGATCATGATAAACACCATCATCATCAAAAATAGTTTAGAGAGGGACTACTGGGGGGCTCAGTCGCTTAAACATCGAACTTGGTTTTGGCTCAGGTCATGATCTCAAAACTTGTGAGTTTGAGCCTGCTTGGGATTCTGTCTCCCTTTCTTTCTGTCCCTTCTCTCCCACCTCTGTCTTTCTCAAAGATAAATAAAGAAATACTTTTTAAATAGTTTAGGGAAACTCACATATATCCAACATTCTCCTCTATAAATTTCTGGGTAATACTGACATCATCTGAAAAGCAACAATATTTAGGTTATTATGTATGCTGGTATTTAAACATTTTCCCAACAAATGACTACACGATATCTAAATTTACAAAGTATAAAATAGAAAACTCATTGTACAAAATAATTGGACATACTTAACAAGAAGGGGAAAAGTCATATGAACCAAATATGAGATCTGTCGCACAGCTTGCTATGTACTCAAGACTTGAATTAATTTCAAACTGAGCAGACTTCAGATTTGTCATTGATGGCTCCTCAGCCACAAATGTCAAATCTAAGCACTTCTATGCTAAGTATCTATCACGTATGACTAGGAAAGTACTATGAAAGTAACTGATATGTGCTGTAAATCTACCACAGGGCCCCACAAAAGATACCATAGTGTGCTAGTAGTTAATATAGTTTATAGTGCTACAGACACAGATATTTAGATCCTCTCTCGACCAGTCTAAAATCATTGATTCCCTCCCAAGGAACACACCTATATTGTCCACATAGCCTGTTTTTATGGAATCCTTACTTTTGCAAGGTATTGTGCTGGACACTACGAGGCAATCAGTAATAATTAAGACATCTCCCCTGGACCTCAGGTTTCTAAGTACTCTCACAGTGCAAGTGACTTATGAACATGACTATAACCCAATTTGGAATGTACATGGCATCCTAAAGTAATGTGGGTAAGTATATGACAGAAATGCTTTATTATCCCTGAGTAAAAAACCAGAAAAGGATTATAGGAAGAGTGGCATCTGAGTTGAGTCTGAAAAAATGCACAGGATTTCAGCTAGCAAAGAAATAAGGAGGCTCTTCCCTCTCTGTGGAGAGAATTATGTGAGTAAAATTACAAAGGTAAGAGATTATGAGATATATGTGTACTTATTAATCTACTTTCATGAGAGGGTGAGTCATAAAGAACAAGAACTAGGATAGAAAGGACCTGGATGCAATATTCTAGGGGTTTTGCATATAAAGCCTAGGAGTTTGAGCTTCACTTAGAAGCTATGAAGGTCCATTTAAAAATGTTTATATAGAATAGTAATATGATTATTCCTTTTTTTAATTGACATATAATTAACATACAGTGCTATATTAGTTTCACTTGTACAGCATACTGAGTAGACAATTCTATATGCCACTCAATGCTTACCACAATAAAGATAGTCACCATCTGTCACCCATAGAACATTATTGCAATATTATTGACTATATTCTCTGTGCTGTTTGTCATCCCCATGGCATATTTATATATATTATAACCGGAAGTTTGTCCTTCTTAATCCCGTTTATCTATTTCACTCATCCTTCACCCACTTTCCCTTTGGCAACCACTGGTTTGTTCTCTGTCTTTAAGGGTCTGGGGGTTTTGCTTGTTTGTTTGTTTTTTATTTTAGATTCCACATAAAGTGAAATCATATGGTATTTCTCTTTCTCAGTTTGTCTAACTTCACATAGCCTAATACACTCTAGGTCCATCCATGTTTTTATATATGGCAAGATCTTATTCTTTTTTATGACTGAGTAACATTCCATTGTATGTATTCATACCACATCTTTTTTATCCCTTCATCTATTGATGGACATATGGGTGGTTTTATACATTGGCTATTGCAAATAAGGCTGCAATAAACATAGGGGTACATATAACTCTTCAAATAAGTGTTTTTATTTTCTTTGGGTAAATGCCCAGTAGTGGCATTACTGGTTCATGGCACTTCTATTTTTCTTTTTTTTAGGAACCTCCATACTGTTTTCCACAGTGGCTGCACCAGTTTATATTCCCACCAATAGTGTACAAGTGTTCATTTTTCTCCACATCCTCACCAACGCTTACTATTTTTTGTCTAATTAATATGTAACCACAAAAGACCCTGAATAGCCAAAGCAATCTTGAGAAAGAAGAACAACTGGAGGTATCACAAATCCAGATTTCAAGATATAATACAAAGTTGTGATAATCAAAATAGTACATATACCAGCACATAAATAGACACCTAGATCAATGGAATAGAATAGAAAGCCCCAAAATAAACCCTGTTTATATGTCATAAATAATATACAATAAAGAAGGCAAGAATAGACAATGAGGAAAAGATAGTATCTTCAATAAACGGTGCTGGGAAAACTGGACAACTACATGCAAAAGAATGAAACTGGACCACTTTTTCATACCACATACAAAAATAATTTCAAAATGGATTAAAGACCTAAATGTGACCTGAAACTATAAAATTCCTATAAGAAAACATAGGCAGTAATCTCTCTGACATCATCCTTAACATCATTTTTATACATATGTCTCCTAAGGCAAGGGAAGCAAAAGCAAAAATAAACTGTTGAGACTTTGTCAAAATAAAAAGCTTTTTGCACAGAGACATAAACCATCAATAAGATGAAAAACAACTTACCAAATGGGAGAAATTTGCAAGTGTTATATTCGATAAGGAGGTATTACTATCAAAAATATATAAAGAACTTACACAACTCAATACCAAAAAACAAACAAGCAAAACCTAATCAATCCAAGTAAAAAAAAAAAAGTGGCAGAGGATCTGAATAGACATTTTTCCAAAGAAGACATACAGACACACGAAAAAAACCTCAACACCACTAATCATCGGGGAAATGCAAATCAAAACCACAATGAGGTATCACCTAATATGATTATTGCTATATGTTAAGACATACCAGCCACGTAGTAGTATATCTAATATGCAGGGAATTTGAAATAGACACAGTATCTGACAAATAGAAAGTGACAAGAAGTATTTGCAAAATAGCTGGATAGAAGAATAAATGGATAGACAAAAAAGAAAAGAAAAGAAAAGAAAAGAAAGCAGCAAGAAGCTCATGAGTCCATTAAAAGACTTTTGTAATTGTTCTATTGAGAAATCAGCAAAACAAGAATTTTGTTCAGACTAATGGAAATGCAAAAGTAACCATTGAATGAAAAGATACCGAAGAGATAAAAATCAACAGGATTTTTGAAGAAGTCTTTAAAATGGGCAAAAGAGAAGAGCTCAAGAATGACCATTCTTCTAAGTCCCATGAGTGGTCTCAAGAGCAGGCATTGTAGGGGGTAAGAAGTTAAGTGAGTCGCAGCCCATATTTTCAGGGCCACTGCAATGTTTATGGCACCTTTGTGCAAGTTACAAAAAAGTTTTTTGTCCTTGCCCAAGGGATTAAAAAAACACGTTTTCTGAAGAAATGAAGTTCAAATGTTTCCCCTTTGGGGAGAAAGAATATATGTCACCTTCCCCTGCAAGCTGACACTGTGTTAGCCAGGTTTATGGGTATATACAGACTTGAGGATTTTTATAAACTGTACAGTTGGGAGAAATTGTGTTCTGCATACCCTAAAGGTGTTTACCACCTAGTTGGGAGATATGTTGGACACCCAAAGATTATTTAAAAAATCCCAACTCATACTTAATGTTCCATTTTTACCATACACTACCATATACATTTTCAAGAAATACTAATATTTTCAAATCCAGATTATATATTCCAGCAACACTTTCTATACTGCCATAAAGCTGGTGTCCATTTGCTGGGTGTGATAACTACTAACTCTGTCTATAAATTGGGTAATATGACCACAAAAATACAAAATCTTGAAAGATTACTTCAGGATATCTGACCAGTATATATAAACTCAGGAGGTGGGGGAAGTGGGGGAGTGAAGAATTAAATGGAAATAAAACAAGGTAAGAAAATAAGAAATTATCCCATTCTAGTTATTCCTTAGCTAATATACAAGTAAATTTCTTACCTACATCTTGAGGCTTTGTGGATAGTATTAGGGATTCAGTCAAAAAGAACAAGAAAATAACAAAACCTGTAAGTTTTAACTGTTTCATTTTTTTTTTAGAAATCACATTCACAAAAGAAAGTAATGTGACTGAGTAAGATCAAGTTTTTATATTATTCTTTGACACTATTAGTAAAAAAGTAACCTGTTTAACCTATTTCTCATATACCTCACGTTTGATTCTTATTTGATCACCCTGCAGGTTTTTTTGCTAATAATTAACTAAGAAAAAATTATCTCTGTGTTTTACTGGAAAAATCTATTGAGTTAGAAAAAAAGTCCACAGGTTAAGTATGCACAATACCTAATCAAATAGACAACCAAAAAAAAAAAAAAAAAAAAAATCTTGAAACATTGCACATGCTAAAGGACAAAGGACTAGAATAAATAATTCACCAAAGAGAAAGCATAACTAGAAAGATACTAAGCTTCACTGAAAATAAGAAGTTAAATTTTTAAAAGTATATTTACATTCCTGAAATAATTAGAAAAAAATTATGTCTAATTCTAGTAAATGTATAGTAAAACAAGTCTTATATAATTAAAGCTTTTGGAAAACCAGTGTATAGTAAGGATCAATAGTCTTAAAAATATTCTTATTATTTGAGCCTATCACTCAAAGTCTGGGAATCTATACTAAGAACATGGCCTTAAATATGGAAATATTTGTGAGTATATGCTAAATAGGAAGTCTATTTTTTAGTTATGTCCACCATAAGGGCCTGAAAGCAATAGCAACCAAGTAGCAAGGGCATTTAGTGCCCACATTTTGAGTTCTAAACACTCTCCTCTAGTACAAGGATCTTGGGCTTCTTAGAGAAATGAATAATTCCAGGGCTCGGACATAAAAAATATAAGATGAGCTGAGAACATGGTGCCAGCAACAAAAGAAGTGATCAAAAATTGATGGGATCTAGTGCAAAAAGGATAGAAGACAATAGGTCAATTTGACAACATAAATAATGTCAGGAATGCATTATAACCCATTACATTTTTTGAATAAGAATTTATGGATCTATACCAATACAAAATTAAAACAAAAGTAAAGAAAGGAAAAACTCTTCTCTACAGAAGAATGCCATCTAATAAGTGTAGTTAGAAACAAAGCATCACTGTTTGTAACACCACAGGAGCACCTAATGGTGAACTAGTCACTCTGTAGGTTACTATTGGTCTTTACAACTAATGAATATAAAGAATGTATAATAATGAGAAATATTTACTACAAAATATTTGGAGAAAGAGTAGAATCTAAAATTGTTTATGTGATGTGTAGAAAGTGGTAATGTGAACAGACCTATTAAACCAAAAGAAAGGGAGAGAGAGAGAAGAGACTGGGGAGGAAGTGGGGGAGAGAGAGAGAGAGAAAGAGAGAGAGACAGAGAGAGAGAGAGAGATGGAAAGACAGAGGGAGAAAGAGAGAAGCAAGAGTGTCTTATGGACAGTCAAGAAAGAGAAAGATACATCAGATTCAAATAGCTATCCATACACTAGGAGAATTCCAAATAAGGCAGACATCCAAATGTAAAAAGGAAAAGCAACTATAAAAGTACTCGAAGAAATACAAGTAAATGGGAACATTTTTTCTACTGCAGTGCAAAATCCTGGAACAGTTGAAAGATCAACTATGTAAAGAAATGTTAAGGACTTTACATGGAAAAATACTCTAGGCAAGTCAAAAAGACAGAGGAAAACCTGATAAAATATAGCTACAATCTATCTCATACAAAGACCTCTGGAAATTTGAGGAGGAAAAAAAAAAAGATCAACAACCTGATAGAAACATAGTAAAGTGATCTAAGCAAAGAATACACAACAGGAAAAAAAAAAAAAAAACACTAACGGGTTGTAAACATGAAAAAAAAAAAGATTCTCCTAATAAGAGAAATGTACATCTAAACACCACAGCAGTATTTCTCACCTATGTGATTGGCAAAAATCTCTAAGTGTGACAGCATACTGTGAGGATAAAACTGTGGGGAAATAGATCCTGTTATCCATGGCTGGTGGTAATGTAGAATGGTGGCACAATATTTATGGAAGAGAATTTGGCAATATCTAAGAACATATACATTTGTCCCCTGAGCCAAAAAACTTTCTAATAGGCATCCTATCCTAAAAACTTTCTAAAGGTACCTGTCAATATTTCTAAGTGACTAAAGCACTAGGCTATTCATTGTGACACTACTTGTAATAGCAAAAGATTGGAAATAATTCAAATGGCCGTCAATAGAAGGTCAGTTAATAAACTATAGCATCTCCACACAAAGAAATTCTATGAAACTGTTTAAAAACATTGAGGAAAAAACATGCATCATATGCGGTGATTGCCAAGACCATGTTTTTAAGTGAAAAGGCAAGGTAGAGAACAGTCTATGGAATGTGTAACCTCTTATGGAATAAAGATAGAATGGTATAATAGGAATATATTTATGTACATATTTGCTTAGATATTAAAAATAACAGAATGATTAAACTGAGAATTAAGAAAAGCTATTATTTATAGGAGAAGGGGAAGAAGGGAGACTAGAGTAGAAGGAATAATGTCTAAGTCAGTTTGGACTATTAGAACAAAATACCATACACTGGGTAGCTTATAAACAACAGAATTTTATTTCTCCAGTTAGGGAGGCTGGGGTCTGTGATGGAGCACCATTGGGGTCAGGTTCTGGTGAAAGCAGCCTCTTGCAGGCCACAGACTGCTAATTTCTGCTGGTATATCCTCATATGGCAGGAAGAGGGTATCAGGGTGATGCTGGCCTCATGGACTGAATTGGAAAATATTCTCTTTCTTTAATTTTCTGCAGCAGTTTGTGTATAATGAGCATTATTTCTTCCTTAAATGTTCAGTAGACTTCAGTGAATGTCAGTCTGAAGTTTTCTTTGAGGGAATGACCTTCACTTTCCACTACTTTAATAGAGATGGCAATAATCAGATTATCTATTCTTTCTTGACTAAGCTTTGGTATTTTGTCTTTCAAGGTATTTGTCCATTTCCTTTAAGTTGTTGAATTTATTGGCAAAATAGTTTTCAAACTAGCCCCTTAACATTTCAATAGCTAAGGTGATGTCTCGTCTCTCATTCCTGATATTGGTAATTTGTCTTTTCTCTCTTTTTTTCCTGATAAATCAGGTGAGAAGTTTATCAATATTATTGGTCTTCTCAAAGAACCAGCATGTTTCATTTATTTTTATCTATTAGTGTTTTTTTTCCTGTTTTCTATTTTGTTGATATCTGCTTTGATTTCTATTATTTCCTGTCTTCAACCTACTTTGTTTTAATTTGCTCTTTTTTTTTTTTTTTTAGCTTTTGAAGGTGGAAGCTGGGTTCACTGAGATCTTCCTTTTTTTCTAATATATGTTATCTGAAGATAACAGAATGCTACAAATTATAAAGCAGAGTACTTTAGTGCTATAAATTTCCTTTAAGCACTGTTTTACTGGGGTCCCACAAATTCTGATATGTTGTATATTTTCATTCAGTTCAAACTATTTTTTAATTGTTATTTTCAAAGAGAGAGAGAGAGAATCCACACTCAGCACTGAACCCAACACAGGGCTCAATTCCACAATCCTGGGATCATGACCTGAGCCAAAATCAAGAGTCGGACCTTCAACTGACTGAGCCACAGAGATGCCCCTCAAAATATTTTTAAATTCCCTTTTAATTTCTTCCTTGATTCATGAGTTCTTTAGAAGAGTATTATTTAGCTCATGAGCATTTTGGATTATTAGCCATTGCCAGTATAATTCCATACTATCAAGCAATTTTCTGGAATCTCCCTTAACTGAAAGCAGTATCATAGGAAGGAGACAAATTCCTTATATGGAAATCCATTAGGGCTGGGGAGTTGGGGAGTGGCAGGAAAGAAGTTGCAAGAGCTAATTCAGGCTGGTCTATGCTCACCTGTTTTCAACAGTATGTCATCCCAACAGGAGTTCAGGTGTATCTTGATATTATGTGTGGACACTAGGCAATCTGGGTTACTGCCTCTGATTTATGGCAATGAGGCAAGTGTGACTTCTTTGCAATTTAGTGTATAGACAAAAGCACAAGTTAAAGTCTATCCTCCCTGAAACTTCTTAGACTCTTGGTGGGAATGCAAACTAGTACAGCAACCCTAGAAATTAGTATGGAGGTTCCTCAAAAAGTTAAAAATAGAACTACCCTATGGTACAGCAATTGCACTAGTAGGTATTTACCCAAAGGATACAAAAATACTGATTCAAAAAAACACATGCGGGGCGCCTGGGTGGCTTAGTCGGTTAAGCGTCCGACTTTTGCTTAGGTCATGATCTCGCGGTTCGTGGATTCGAGCCCCGCGTCGGGCTCTGTGCTGACTGCCAGCTCAGAGCCTGGAGCCTATTTCGGAATCTGTATCTCCCTCTCTCTCTGACCCTCCCCTGCTCACGCTGTCTCTCTCTCTCTCTCTCTCCTAGAAATAAATAAAAAAAATTAAAAAAAAAAAACACATGCATCCTGAAATTTATAGCAGCATTATCAACAATAACCAAATATCCATTGTCTGATGAATGGATAAAGAAGATGGATATATCTTTATACATTAAATGTTAATATGTACATATTATATGTTATAAATACATATTTATACATATAAATATCCAATATATATATTGATCAGCCATAAAAGAAATAAAATCTTTCCACTTGCAAAGACGTGGATGGAACTAAAGAGTATTATGCTAAGCAAAATAAATCAGAGAAAGACTAATACTGTGTGATTTCACTCATATGTGGAATTTAAGAAATAAAACAAATGAACACAAGGAGAAAGAAAGAGAGGAAAACCAAGAAACAGACTCTTAACTATAGAGAACAAACTGATGGTTACCAGAGGGGAGGTAGATAGGGGATGGGTTAGGTGATGGGAATTAAGGAGGGCACTTGCTGTGATGAATACCAGGTGTTGTTATGTAAGTGTTGAATCACTGAATTCTACACCTGAAACTAATATTACACTGTTATGTATGTATGTTCCAGTATGTTCCAGTATGTTAACTAACTGGAATTTAAATAAAAACAAGATA